CACACACACACACACACACACACACACACACACACACACACACACACTTTTTCTAATCTGGTAATTCTTCCAAAGCCCTGATGCAGCATGTCTTAACAGACGGTGAGTTTTCTCCCTTGCTGAGCCAGGCATCCATTATACTAATCCACCATGCCTTCATATCTCTAGCAAGCACATGTAAGTGATAACTTAGAATATTTATTTTGACGCAAGGTGTATAAATCTTTTCTATGGCATCCTGGAAAGTGAGGAAATTGTGACTTGCTCAACTCAGCTATGTCAGTTGTTTAAATTTGGCTCTTTCACCACAGTGTGCTTTGATATATAAACAAGAACTGTTTAATTTTTATGCTATACAAAGTGATTTGTGCAGATTCATATGTACAGGGAAAATAAAACTCAAGTACCAAAAGGCTAAAGTAACTTTTATATATATTTTTAATTAGGTTCGATTATATGCAAGACCCGACGCTATCAGAAGAGGATCCGGGGACTATGCTCTCCACATTACAAAGAGATTAATAGAATTTTATGAAGACTACTTTAAAGTGCCCTATTCTTTGCCAAAACTAGGTAAGAATTTCTTGGTTATTTTATTGGAAGGACTCCCAGACGATGGAATTTCTTCTTCATCATTAGTTGAGTCATCCAGAAGCTTACAAATTCAAAGGTTAATATTTTTAGAGATGAAGGACAAAAATAATTTCTTCTGAGGAGGTAAAATAAGATTAATGTCCTGGAGTCTTGCCAGTAAGTGCTCATGGGAATTAAGGAAGGCATTATGTGAGTCAGAATTCCAAAAAATAACCTAAATAGCTACAATTTGTTAAATACAGCCTATGGAGGGGTGCTTGCCAAAAATCACGTTTAATCACTACAACAACCACGTGGCCAGATGCAATTAGAGCACATTTCATATAAGGGGATTGAAGGTGTTTCCTAGCATTGAGACACCCTGGTCTGTCTGACTCTCAGAACTAGGCAATATTGTATCCAGAGCTGACATGGATAACCTTTCTGTCTCCAAACTGTTATATGTCAAATATTCATGAATTGGCTTTCCTTTAAGTTATTTTTTAAGATTGTATTTGTAGTATACATCTAAGCTAATAAAAAAGTGACAGAAGAAAAACTTGGTAACAATGGAAATTGTTACAATAATGGAATGTTCTTGTGTGCATTCCTTTTACAGAGCGAATGTGCTCAGTAATTGTTGGTCCTGTGAATAAACACATTAATGTATTATTCCAATTTGAATGAGCCTGTGCTTTTGGCAGGAAGTGAGCTAGAATGTTCCAGGACAGTATAAAGGGTGCACATATGCATTAGAAATGTTGACGTTCCTTTCCCTTTTCAGAAACTTGATTTTGGATGTGACATCACAATGGCCTTTTGTTTCCCACTCACCCCTCTCTTACCATTTCCTTTCCAAGTATGTTTTGTTTTTGTCAGAATCCACAGAAGATACATTTTTGTTCTTGTTGTTGAGAAGAATAAAGTGTTTATTTGATCAAAAGTGTTAGTTTGAACCACAGGTTCACTTCCCTGGAGAATTGGGCCTATTTCATTAAAGTACCTGCCTGCTTTTTTCTTTTAACCCTCTCTCATCTCCTCCCAATGCTATCCTTCCTCCCTCTTCTCCTGCCATGACCCTCTCAGAGTCCACTGATAGGGGGGAGGTCCTCTTCCCCTTCTATTTGACCCTAGCCTATCAAGTCTCATCAGGACTGGTTGCATTGTCTTCCTCTGTGGTCTGGCAAGGTTACACTGTGGATTCTGTGGATTCTGACAAAAACAAAATATACTTGGAAAGGAAATGGTAAGAGAGGGGTGAGTGGGAAACAAAAGGCCATTGTGATGTCACATCCAAAATCAAGTTTCTGAAAAGGTGATCAGAGAGCCAGCTACTGAGTTCATGCCAGAGAAAGTCCCTGCTCCCCTTACTAGTGTCCCCACTTGGAGACTGAGTCTATGGGCTACATCTGTGCTGAGGTTTTAAGTCCTCTCCATGCACTGTCCTTGGTTGGGGTATCAATCTCTGCAGGTCCCCCCGGGCTCAGATTTTATGGCTCTGTTGGTCTCCTTTATTGGTCATACAATGAGGAGTTCAGAAACTAGAGAGAAGAGCTGACATTGTCATCTTGGCATGGCATTCCATGTAATGAACTGTATTGAAAACTTGTAAGGTCTTTTGGAAATATTCACTCAGCATTTACAAACAAAGTTTTATTTCAGATAGGATCTGTACCTTTCCTTTTTATATCTGCTTCCTCTATAGAAACTGTTTCACTGAAATCTCACTGGTAGTCACCCAAGGCAGAAAAGACTGCCTGACCTCATTTGCATGGGAGGTGGTGTGCTGTTATCTTCACCAGGTAACTGGGAACTTCCCAGCTTGACCCTAATGTAAAATTCACAAGTGCTTATGTTGCAAGTTCAGCAACAGAAATAAAATGTGGATCCTTCTCTGTCCCCTTCAGACAAGTGATTAGCAGAAGAACTCAATTTATAACTTCAGGGGGTTCCATGGAACTGTCAGCTTGCAGCAGGATTCATTTCTGCTCCTCTATTTCACTCACAATTGAACCATGCAGGCTTTCATCTGCAGAAAAAAAAAAAGCTTTATTCACCATTGCTACTACTTGTTAAGCTACCTTATGGTGTATATAATTGAATGATTTGACTTACGCCAGCACACTCCTTTTTATATATCTAGGGGAGTTACTGCAGCTCAGGGTGCTTTATGAAATTTCTTGTAAAGGTCTACTTATTTCCTCTATCTGTAGATGTGTATGCTAATGGATTTGTAAGTACGTTTTCTAAATATTCCTTACATAAAATCTCTAGTCACAGAATCATTTTTGACAAATCCTCAACTTCCATCATATATTACGAAGTACATTTTAAGTAAATTTTACATCCACTACCTCAAACTTTGTTAATGATGCCTGTAGATATATTCTAGATTTTAACTGAGACTGCTTTGACCCTTCAGATTTATCAAAAAATTGTTCCCCAAGGCTCATTCTACCTTTCTTTGCTTCCCTCATGCATTCTGTATGCATTTAGTAAGAGTCTTCCATAGTCATTTTTTCTTTTTTTAATTTATTTTTTTATTAATTGCTGTTTATTCTCTTTGTATTCTCCCTGTACCTCCTTCCCTCATCCCCTCCTAACCCCACCCTCCCTCTTTCCCACCATGTCCTTCTCCCAGACCACTGAAAAGGGGCCTATCACAGAGGGCCTCTGAAAGGCTCTACCCTGAAAGGTATTGAAGATGTTGATACTCATAGCCAAACTTTGGGCAGAGTACAGGGAATCTTATGAAAGAAGTGGGAGATAGTAAGATCTGAGAGGACAGGAGGTCCAAAAGGACAGCGACAAATCCTAAAATTCTGGGCATAGGGGTCTTTTCTGAAACTGATACTCCAACCAAGGACTACTCACGGAGATGGACTGGAACCCCTGCACAGAGGTAGCTTATGGCAGTTCAGTATCCAAATGGCCTTCATAGTAATGGGAACAGGGACTGTCTCTGACATGAACTGATTGGCCTGCTCTTTGATCACCACCCCCAAGTGGGGAGCAGCCTTACCAGGCCACAGAAGAAGACAATGCAGCCACTCATTTTTTCATATGATGGAAATACTGTAGTGACCAAAATAGGCAAAAATCCTTTCTTTCTAAGAGATTTCATTCTACCAGGTGATGACAGACAGAAAGCCAATTAGTAGCAAATATGCTTGTCAGCTGGAGACAATCATTAAACAGCTAACATGCTAGCTATAGTGCCACCCACCAGTCATTACAGCACTAAAAAGGCTGAAGCAGGAGGATGACAAGTTTGAGGCCAGCTGGGCCATGTTGTGAGACCTGGGTTAAATCAATCAATCAATCAATCAATCAATCAATCAATCAATCAATCTTAATAACTAACCAGAATAGAAGTTTAGGAAGTATATGAGTGCCAGATGTGGCATGTATGAGAGTCTGAGGCTTTTAAAAAATAATTAATTAACTATAATTAATTAATTATAGTTTTTAACACAAAAGTATTTATTTGGAAGTGTTTAGATATCAACTCAAGACAATGAAAATGAGATCCCAGTGGAAATCATAGGACATGAGTTATTATCAGAGGGAACAAAGTGCCTAGAGTTTGCAATCAGAGCTTCACGGTGTGTTTGAAGTGGCAAAGAGGTAAGCAGGCATGAAACAGAAGGAGTAAAAGAGTGGACACTCTGAGCTCGGTGTAATGAGGTACAAGATAATGCAGATCCAGAAGGCTGTGGTGAGCTGGCCTTCCCCTCACCCAACTCTTTGAATGCCCAAGCAGACCTAGAGAACAGTATGTAGCCCAGGCAGTGCTCAAACTCACAGTGAGCCTCCTCCTCAGTATCCCACGTCCTGCAGTTGGAGGCATAAGCCACTATACCAGGCTTGGATCTTTCTTTCTTTTCTTTAGCAGTCATTTTCTCTGTTTGACTTTTCAATGTATTATTTCTGAACTTCTCTGTTCTGTTTCATTTCTGATGCTGAAAAGTTTAACTTTGTTGACTGTGACGTAGTGACATAGCTCACGCTAGCTTATAGCTAAGGATTTGAGTTTTCACCCCATGTAGCTTTCAGGGAGAGCTCCTTGAGAGGAATTCTAGTGCGTCTTGTTAGGTTTGCACACCAATTTATTCTCCTTGATAAACAAAGCTATTTATTTATCAGTTTGAGTCAGCATAAGCCGATAGTGTACACAGTATAATTTATATTAATAGTTCTAAGTCGAGTAATGAAAGCCATCTGTATGAGTCACATAGAGTTTTTACTTTTTGGTATTGTTACACAATAGAGTATGCCTGTTATAGTCAACAAGACTTTCTATACGCATTCCATGAGCACTTACAGGGCTGTTTTATGCAAAACACTGTACGCATACATAGAATTAAGTTACCTTTTTATTACAGACAAACCATATTGACAACAAAAAAATTGCAACTGTGTTTGTGTTCATAAAATATGAGTTATTCTTATGATCTTTGTTCGTTTTTACCCACTTACTATCATGGTCTCTTGAAGTAGTATCTATTATTTTATAATTTTTCAGAGGAAGAAATTTAGAGATTTGGTAATGGAATAATGTGAGTAGATCATATAAATAAGAATGAATGGGTTAGGATTTCAAATTCAGGCTATGTAATGCTGTGAAATTTGAAATGCTGTTAAAAAAGGAGATTCTAGAACTTTCCAGCACTCAAAAAAGTGTGCATCACTTTAATAAAGCAAATTATTTACTAATGGGATAATATATTAGCTAATTTTGTTAATTTCTTACTTGCAAAAGCCATTGCAAGAAATGTGGAGAGAAAAACTGTGAAGAAACAAGTCTGACGAATCACAGCAGCATCAACATGGAGGCATACCTAACTATTGCAAATGTGTTCTCATCAGAGATGTTTATAAGTTAATTAGACGGCAGATAAAATGACTGGCACAATATTTTGCTATTCACCCTATTTAGATTTCAATTAATCATGGCAGATAGTTTTCGGCTTTCCTTTGCTGATGCTCTGTAATTTGTA